GTATTTCAGTGCCAAGTAACGGAACTTTCAGTCTTTGTCTAGCATGGTGGTGTTTCAGTGCCAAGTAACGGAACTTTCAGTCTATGTCTAGCATGGTGGTTTTTCTGTGCCAAGTAACGGAACTTTCAGTCTATCTAGCATGGTGGTGTTTCAGTGCCAAGTAACGGAACTTTCAGTCTTTGTCTAGCATGGTGGTGTTTCAGTGCCAAGTAACGGAACTTTCAGTCTATGTCTAGCGTGGTGTTTTTTCAATGCTGTGTAACGGAACCTTTAGTCTGTATATAGCATGGTGTCGTTTCAATGCATTCCTTACACATCTTGTCAGGGATGTTTAGAGTTTCAGATTTCTTGCACGCAAACTGTAAAACAAAAATTGACAACTCAATTTCTTTCACTAGATACACTTTTCATATTGGTTATCTATAAAAATATTTGTTAAATGGAATTTCGGTTTAAATTTTCAATTCACAACCACAATTTCGACTACACAATTTTTGAGAGACGTATAGTTAACCGCTGTGACTTTACTCACTCACAAAAAACTAAACGAAATCAAATTGTTGTTGTTTTTTTTTAAACACGTATCTAAGTTAAAAAATATTCGAGGGACGTATAACAAACAGAGTTTGTTATAATTACATTTATATTATAAAATTGGTTTTATTTCAGACTTCGTTTCTAACACTTTGTTAGAGCCTAGAGAAGCATACAAATTGTATAATTAATTACATAATTTCCTATTCGTTTTAATTCCAGCCCAGATGACATAGTTGAAAGGAATATTTTATTTGATTTGCTGAATTTGGAAAGTTTAGAAATGGCTGAATATCGTATAGCTTCTACGTATAATAATGACTAAAAAAAAAGCCATATCTAATCTTAGATACACGAAGATGTTGCGTGCTGGTGTATACCACCAATATCGAATACAGCCTTCTAAAAGCCGTGTATATCAAAAATGGATGAAATCAGATATTTTAGTTTTGTTACAGCGCGTGCTGTTGCATGGTTGTAGGTAGACAACTTTATCGAACTTTCGTAAATTCTGCAACCAATTACAGTAAAAAGAAAATATCTCTGTATATATATATAAAGAGAAAAGCTACTGCATGTTATTGTTCTTAATGTAGATTCCTAGAAGAAAATCTACAATCTTTTCAAATGGAGCATTCTAATTGCATTTCGTAAAAGGATTGTGTGCTTTTAACTTAATATTAAAATTAGATGTAGTCTTTGTTTGTACAGGATCATCACCTATGGCAACGACATACTGGAGTAATGCTCTTCCAAACTATACACTCGAAACACCAAAACTCTCATGACGACATGTACAGATCACGCTCGTTTAGACGGAACGGAATTTTATTTTTACTTTCATTGTTTAACTTTGTACATGGACAATGTTGAGTACAGGACGATTTTTCTCTTGCAAGAACGCTAAAAACGTTACATAAAACACGACGAGAAAAAAAAACGAATAAAACTATCTTTATTTCAAAAACATGCACAAAAATGACAGTTACTTTAAAACATAACATTTTGCACGTTGTTACCAAAATACATATATAGTTACACCGACAAACAACTTATACGGTAACACGGTAACTATTTCGGGATTATTAAAGTTCACAGGTCAGAAAATGTAAGCAAAATATCGTATAAAGTATAACATGACAAATAACTGCGTAATGCTTCAAGTTGTTCACGGACAGACACACTCGAACTAGGAAATTAAAGTTAAACGTTTCCTAACACACGAAAAATGGCCATTCTATTGTTGAAGTTTACAAAAGTCATTTTTTACCTGTTGTTCAAACGTATATCAATTACAATTCGGTTAACAAAACGTAAAAGGAAAATTGTAATTTGCAAGTTTGACATTGTTGTGATTTTTATGAATAACAAGTTATCAGTCAAACTGTAAGGAAGAAGGATGTAAAAGTTTGGTGGAAATCAGTTTTATTCGTCATCACAAATGTGGTCTGACAGATACATTGATCAAACACTTAGATAAAGTTGATGGAAAATGAAATTAAGAAATTCATACGTGTCGTCAGGTGTTTATTCCATAAAGATAACATTCAGTTTATGGTTTAATCAAATTCACTTTAATCAAAGTTTATTCGATTGTCAGTCATCTCGGTACCAGCAGCAGCTATTGAGAGTATGGAAAGCAAAATGATTTTAAGTTACCTGCTATAATTTGCGAGCGACTTAGATTAATTTTTGCAATCGGTATATATAATCACAACAGTAAAAGAAAAATGTTACATGTAATGATTAACTTCATTATGCGCCTACAATTCACAGTCAGTTGTGTCTGGAAACTTCAAGTTAGGCTTAAAGGTTTTTATTCAATGTAAAACATCGAGTTCCTGTGATGCATTGGATTAGATGGAGTCTGTTATCTGTTGCGGTCTCGAAGTATAAAGTTTCACCGCTAGAGGAATGGCAGAGGAAATAAAAAATAAAAACGCATTTATATATTTTGTTATTTATAGCAAAGCTAATAACGCTATCTGCCACCGTCCATAATTTTGAACTACTAACCAAAAGAAAGGCAGCTAGTAAGCGGTACTTTACCATCAACTATCCATGCTAAGGGACTGGCTGTTACTCTTATAACGCACTTACAGCTGAAAGTGCGTGGAATATTTTGTTGTAAACGGCAGACATTTTCGAGATATCTAGTAACGTGTTATTTATAAAACAAATGCTGCCAATTAGCTTCAAAAGGGGTGTAAGTAGTTGTACAACCACTTTGCGTCATCTTAATAAACATCAAATCATATCATTCAACTCGTGGAACGTTTGAAATTAATAATATTGGACGGAGGGGAGGGGGGTAAATAAAAATAAAATCCATCGGCGGCAAATACTTAAAACATTTTAGGCTTACAAGTATTGGCACACATTTATGTGGAAAAATGGACACAAAAAAAGGTTTGCTGGATTTTGGCCTCAGATGGCGCCATGCAATTGAAGTTTAGAAATTAGTTTGGTTTAAGTATGCACAACTTTGAAATGTGTGTTTGAATATCAAAATAACAAGCCATATGTCACGGTAAACGTCAAAAGGCATTACAAATAAACATTCAAAAATGACTACATTATTTAATTTGCCCAATTTCTTAAAATTAATACCCCAGACAATATCAGTTTAAATTTGGCGATAGAGCGTTTTGAACTTGTTGTAGCACCTATGACAAAAATTAAAAAAAGGTTTTTTAGCACTGTTTTGTAACTATTGATTTAAGGACTAATTAGGTTTGATGCATAAATCGCTATGGATTAAAGACATGCAAAATTTCAACATTACCTGATTAAAGAAATTACACCAAAAAAACAACAACAACCCCTTTATATATTACTTTATCCAAGTTCTACAAAGAAATTTTCCGCCTTTTAATATAAAGAAACAAAAAGCCCTACTTAAGATTTAAACGAAATTTCTGTTCTAAACCTAAATGTAACCCAATAAACATTTTGTTAGCATTCGGTATTTATAATTTTCAATGTGCACCTGTGATATAAATAACACGACTTAAATTGAAAGTGAAACCCTGTTACATAAACATCAATGTTTTGGTGTCGATTTCTTACTTAGCATACTTATGATACCAGAGAGCAGCACCTGAAGCTGCACCAAGGGCAGTTATCAGACTCATAAATGTTAGAAATCCTCCTACAGATGGTAAATTACGTTCCCAGAATGTGGTAGTAAAAGGCACTCCTGGAATATCCTAGAAGAAATAAACACAAGGCTACATGCATTAGTATATACTTTATTAATTCCTAAACAAAACACAAAGCTACTAGTTTAACCTCACCTATGGCCTAAAAAAGGTATTTTATCCCTCTATAATCTAACTAACGCTAAAGAAAACTTTGAAAACATATGGAGTGTAATTAGCATTAAACATATTAAAGTTAAAATGTATCAATTTCCATTAATGTACCTAGGAGACATTTCAGTGACAAAGCTTTCAAATTACTAATACAGAGCTTATCAATGACCAATCGGGATTAAGCAACAATAGCTTCAAAATACTCTGAGCTTAAGAATGGCAAATCAGGGATTACACAACAAACAGGTGTTTTTCTTGAAGCTATGAAGTTTGTAAGCCTTCATTTGGGTTTCTTTTATATATATATATATATATAACCGAAACATCAATAAGATTCACCTGTGGATACGAATAAGAAAACGATGAAATATGAGACTTTTTCACGGTGAGGAATTGGGAAACCGTGAAAACAGTTACTAAGACTTACAGAAAAGAAAATACTCTTAGTAAAAGTGAAGTCACAAAATTGGTAGAAACATTTAATAGAAGAAGGGGAAAAAGGTCTGACATTCCAGTGTTTTATATATTTAGGTTTACAGCTTATCAGCACGTTCAACTTACATAATCCAAACTGTAAATTGTGACCGAAACATTTAAAATGTTTAAATCACACCTGAGATTTCTAAGGTAGAAGATAACATGTCCAGTTCCCATAAAACAACACGAATTTACCGTGACCTTAATAACAAAAAAATCTAGCAACACAAGTAAACCAGAACTACATCAAAATGTTGTCATGTCGCTCCAGGTTCTTACCATTAGACTTAGCATATTCTATTCATACACTGTCACAAAAGGATAGAAATGTGGGGGTTAACAACTCAGTGTCATTGCTAAGGTAGAAGATAACATGTCCAGTTCCCATAAAACAGCACGAATTTACCGTGACCTTAATAACAAAAAAATCTAGCAACACAAGTAAACCAGAACTACATCAAAATGTTGTCATGTCGCTCCAGGTTCTTACCATTAGATTTAGCATATTCTATTCATACACTGTCACAAAAGGATAGAAATGTGGAGATTAACAACTCAGTGTCATTGCTAATACACGCACCATCATGGCAGTCTTATTATCAATAAATGGAGTATTTTCAGCAGTTCATGGTAGCTACAAGTGTTAGATTCATTGGATGTAACACGCGTATCTAAACATAGGTTTTCGTGCTACCAAGCTACGTCACAAATAAGTTTGGTTTGTTTTGAAAATCTCGCAAAGCTACACGAAGGCTATCTGGGTTAACCGTCCCTAATTTAGCAGTGAAAGACTAGAGGGAAGGCATGTAGTCATTACCACCTACCGCCAATTCTTGAGCTACTCTTTTACCAACGAATATTGGGATTGACCGCAACAATATAACGTCCCTACGGCTGAAAGGGCGAGCATGTTTTGTGGGACAGGGATTCGAACCCGTGACCCGCAGATTGCGAGTTGAGTGCTCTAACCACAAATAAGTGCTTATGGATTTCCTGTTAGACAAATGTAACACTTCTTAATTTACCTGTACGATACTGGTTTGGCTCAAAAATCCCGGAACGCACTTTATAAGAGGGATAGAATGGTGGTATGAATAATTCTAAGTTTAAGAAGTTGGGGTATGTCATGCCGCTTATACCCCTCACTTCGAACACTGATTTGAATTTTACAAGCAATTCTGTGAAGTCACTTAAACTTGGATAAACATTGCAATATGTAATCGTACAAATAAAGATGCGGATTGTATCTATAATACCCCCCTCACCTTTTAACAAATTTTTAGTGTGTGTGGAGTTGAATGTTACCACCTTACACCCAACAAGTTAGTTTGCTGATACAAACTTCTAGTGCCACCCACATATTACAAGTCTTTCGTCTTTGCCAAACTTCTAGTGCCACCCACATATTATGTCTTTCGTCTTTGCCAAACTTCTAGTGCCACCCACATATTATAAGTCTTTCGTCTTTGCCAAACTTCTAGTGTCACCCACATATTATAAGTCTTTCGTCTTTGACAAACTTCTAGTGTCACCCACATATTATAAGAATTTCGTCTTTGCCAAACTCCTAGTGCCACCCACATATTACAAGTCTTTCGTCTTTGCCAAATGAATAAATAGTTTTTTTGAGTAGCTATCAAACTTGTAAACTTTATACTTTAACAGAATCAAAGCATGGGTGAGCGAAGTTTCTCTCGTAGACCTCAAAACTAGTCCTTACAGTTAGGAAAAAAACATACAATAGAAAAGACTGCAAGACGTGGAAAAATAATGAAAAAAAAAAGTGTTCAAAACACGTCATAACAAAATCTTTATTATTATTTCAAAGTAGGCAGTTGCCTGGAGCGGCGAGTTTAAGGAACATCGAACGAAAGCGGCAACAAATATTTGATGAATTATGTTTTTATTTAATTTTTTAATGCGGGGGCGCCACAACCGGACGCACCAGATCAATATACCAAGCAAAAGCGCTGAGCGATCATGTGACTGATCACGTGATTAATGACGTAACTAATACAAAGGCTCCACTTCTGGAGCAATATCTGCTTAGGACGGTACTATACCTTAATGCGGCCCTACTTACGGTCCCTTAGAACTTAAAACTAGTCCTTACAATCCTTAAGCAGAGGAAGTGATCTTTCAGAAACATTTCTTCATCTTCCTGGTAGTGTATATCAGGCAACACTACTGTAAACAAACATATTAAAATTATTTCATAGTACCTGTATATAATGTGTAATAGAGCGTCGAAAATTTCTATTGTTACGCCTCTGTTCGTTTGTTAATTTCCCGTATAATTTCTTTCGGATGAAACTTTAGCGATACAAGTCCTTTCTTAAATAAAACTAGTTTATTCTTTCTCAATTCAACTTTGTAATACACTTAATTTCCACAGTCACTTTAAACACGCGCCATAATTCAC